ACAAGTCTAATTTATCTTCGAATGTCTTTTGAATGTACCATTTCCACATAGTAATAGTTTACACAAATTGAACCACATCTGAAAGTATTTCTTACCTATAAGGACTAGGTCCCTATAAGGATTAAGTCAGAGTAACTGCATTGTGAATTTTACTGCCCTTTTACCAAAGATCAGTTATGTGGAATGCAGGCAAGGAAATTTACAATAAACTAGCTGCAATTTGTATTGTTAGTTGCAGTAAATTCTAGTCTTATTCAAATAGTTGATTTATTACTCAGGTAAATAAATTTACTGACAAAAGGGGAACTTATAGCTTATTCAGACATTTTACATGTTTCTGAATAAGCATACAGAATTCAGAAATTAATGTTTCTGAATAAGCATAGTGAATTAATACCTTAGCAAGATTTATTTGATTTAGATGTAAAACATTGAATAAATCTAAGTTATGTTTTTTTTTTAAAAAAGAGCTTCTTAAAACGTCCAGTAATAGAACAGATCACATGAACAATATATACACTTTATTAAACTGATTATATATAATGCAATGTATTAGTCTTCTATGATTTATATAGTTACTTAACTATATGAATATAAAACTGTTGAGTTAGATAAACCTTCCTGCTGTGTAAGTTTGGGTGCCTGGTTAGTGTTACTAACATATTCTCTCCCACAATTTCTGGAGCACAGGTATACGTTCTTCTAACTTACTAAAGCAGGCAGTCTAACACAGAAAACCAGTTCAAGCCTGATCTTACATAGCTAACAGGTCTGTGCCAAAACCCTTTCACTTCCTTGAACTCACAGTGGGAACTATGAAAACTGCTGCATCTAACATTTTCAAATTTAAATTAAAAACTCCCAACTGCACCCCTATCTCCGCAACAAACATATTTAAAAGCATGAAGTAAAGGGCATAGGACTGTCAATTTCTGATCATATGTGTACATCCATACTACATTAAATTATATTTCATATATTAGGATATAAATCCTTCCAAGATTCCTTACAAATAGTGGTAACAGGGGCAGGACTAGGCAACATGATCCCTGATGGCCTAATTTTTTTCCCCACCCAGAATTGTAATCTAATCTCATTTCCTTTTAAGTTCAGCGACTGAGTGATGAATACCTACATGTGTGAATTAGCCCTAACTTGATTAAAGAAGCCTTGGCAAGATGGCTTCCTTTTTTAATTAATATTTTTGGTATTACCCCTGAGAAATCCTATTGCTAATTACTAGCACAAAGAATTAGTTATTACTTATTAATTCAAGAATTTAATATGGTGCAGTCTGAGATATGTTACTGAGATTTTCTCATGCTGTGTAAAATTTAAATTTGTACTTTACAATAATAAAGACTAAAAATAATACATTAATCACAATATATTAACCATTGTATTATTATTTTGCTTTTATAGTGTTTTAGAATAATTATAAAAATATGTAATTTATCAGTGTACCAGTTGCATATGATTGTAACATTAAAAAAAATTGTTACTTTTTTATTATCAAAGATTCACCAAATATTTTTTCACGATTTTTATTAGTGCCACATCCCATCTTTTTCATCTGTCTGTCTGTCTGTCTGTCTGTCCGTCTATCTATCTATCTATCTATCTATCTATCTATCTATCTATCTATCTATCTATCTATCATCTATCTATCTATCTATCTTTCTATCTATCATCTAGGAATTTTTATTAGTGCCACATCCCACCTTTTTTATCTATCTATCTGTCTGTCTGTCTGTCTATCTATCTATCTATCTATCTATCTATCTATCTATCTATCTATCTATCATCTAGGAATTTATACAAATGTGAAACTTGGGATTTACTTGTATTGCTAACATTTTCAGGTTTTTCCTCTTCTACTGAACCATAATTTAGCTAAGGATATGGAAATAATTCCAAGTAATTGGGGTTTTCTCTTGTTTTTTTAAATCCAGTTTTTGCTTACTTCTTCATTGTTGTCACTCTTTTAAATGTTACAGGCAGAATAAAATCTTCCCAGCAACCAGAAGATTTTAGCATGAATGTTTAAAACTATAGTCTCAAATGCATCTAAATACAATCTGAGTAATGTTTGCTTTGTTTCTATTATTCCTGTTCAATTGTTATAATCACCCATTTGCCTGGTATCTACAAAATTCATCAGATATTTCTAAGTGAGATGCAGTTAATACACGTTTATGTGTCTTTTTAAAAAAAATCATTGTTTAAAAAGATACCTTCAGATCCTCCTTGACTTCTTGTGACTATAGGGTAACTCAAGCTCTCATCTTATAATCTCTTCTCTCTGCTCTTTTTCTCTGCATTTCACTCCTTGTCACTTCTTTCATGACTCCCTTCTTGCTGTCTTTTCCATCTCTTTGTCTTCCTCCCCACTCTTGTTTTCCACTTGCCTTTAACTTTTGTTAGCCTTCCTCTTCCTTTCAGTTCTTTATGCTTTCATTTATCCTCTATTTCTAAAAAACTCCTCATTCTCTCATCTTGCTCAATTCTCCTGCTACAAAACTATTGTCCTGCCCCATACTATTTGCAATAATCTCACAGGAATTTGGATTTAATTTTTTTCTAAGAAAACCTATTGAGTCATTCAAAGGAAGGTTTTTCTTGGAAATTAAAATTAAATGTGCCTATAGGCTACTATTTTGTACTGTGATGTAGCAAAATGAATGTGAATAGGAAATATT